TACTACCAAGAGAGAAGAAAGTCAGTGCCATTGCGATAAGAGACCTGATGTTCAAGATATATGTATATGCATGAATGGGTAGAGGCCAATTATTAAGTGCCTGTTATGTGGCAGGTATTTTATATATATATATTATCTATAATAATGCCTATAGCATTCTAGCAAAATGACATGTATCGTTATTACTATTGCACAAATGTAGAAAGTAAGGCTTAGGGACACTGTGTTTTGCTCAAAGCTAAATGCTAGTAGTTGTTTCAAAGTCAAGTCTCTCTGGCTCTCAACACCATACCTTTGTCTCTAAGGGCCCCTCCTCCACAAACATTCCACCCAACACAAAGGCAGGCCTGTAGTGGTTAGGTACTTAAATTCCAGAATCAGTCTGTCTGCTTTTCAATCCCTACTCTGCTCTTTATTACCTGGTAGAACTTTGGCCACATGTCTTCATCCCTTTGCTGTTACTAAATCTGAAAAATGGGGTTAACAGTTCCCAGTGTGCTTGGATTGTTGGGAGTTTTAAAGTAATCGCATCATTCACACAAACATGCAGATGGCCTCACTGTTCATCAAGGATCTGTCTCTTCCTCATGTTTTCCAAGTCTGCTCTAGTGTGCTTTGGTGTTACTCAACTCTAAAAACTGAAGTTTGGAAAACAGTAGGAAGGACCTCAGAGCTATCTAGATCACCAAACCCCAGAAGTCCTACTGAATCACATTTCTGTAGGTAACTGAATTCACCACATGGCAAGTCTTTTAAGAGAGGATGGTAATTTGAATAATCAAAGGTAAGATGGGGCCCAGAGACACCGGTTCCTCAGTGAGAGGCCATTTCCAATATGAGAAAGGGATGCTACTCTTCTAGCTCAGTGAGCCTGAGAGAAAGAAAAAAAAAAGTGCATTCTAAGTTTATTTCTACTCGTAGCCTTTATTTTTAAAAATATTTTCTTAGGAAACCAAGCTGTCTTTGAGAGAGGTATTACTAAGCCTGAGTATTACAAATGATAGACACTGCACAGAAGAGAACAAAGAAAGAAAACTAGATTTCTGTCCCTACATGCCTCTCCTGGGTACGTCCACTGGATGCGAGCTCTCGGGACACTGACTTCATCTGTGGACCTGCAGTATCTAGTCCCATTTCCTGGAATGGCTGCATACCTCCTGAACAATTTTTTTTAATCCTTGTATATTATGAATCATGGTAGGTGTGTTTGTCTCTTCATTTTGGCTGCTAAGCAAGGGAATGGGACTTAGCTTCTTACTGCACTAACTTTCTCTCTGCCTCGAGTCTTACCTAAATTAAATATATTTTAGGGGCACCTGGGTGGCTCAGTCGGTCCAACATCTGACTTTGGCTCAGGTCATGATCTCACGGTCTGGTCTGTGAGTTCGAGTCCCACATTGGGCTTTGTGCTGACAGCTGGGAGCCTGGAGCCTGCTTCAGATTCTGTGTCTCCCTCTCTCTCTCTGTCCCTTCCCCACTCTCAATCAGTCTCTCTCTCAAAAATAAACATTAAAAAAAATTTAAAATAGATTAAACAATTTTAATCTTTTGTTTTAGGATTCTTGGTAAAATGTCCATTTATTTTTGGAAATAAGTAGAACATAAATAAATAAACATAATGTCTCTGACGTATTGATTGATACCTAGATTCTGCCTTTAACCATATTTGACTATTCTTAGAAATGCTTACGTATTTAATTGAAAATCTCAATGTGCTCAGATCCTAATATTACTGTGCTTGGAGAGACAGGAGTTAAGACTACTTACTGATTTGGAAATCATCATAAAACAGTATCTTCATGGTTGTAGTATCAGCTTCTATCTCTTGCACAATATACTAGATCATATCTTCTATTAAATCAATGAGACTGGATTACTACTGAAAAGTAAACTAAGGAACCTTCTGTGGTATCAGACCGCAAAGAAAAGGCGGTAGACTATGCCTGGTCCCTACTGACTTCCTTGCCCCAAATGCAAACAATGTATTCTAAGCTCATTTTCTCTGTAGTCTTTTCATTTGTGTAAGTAGCTCGACTCTCATGTGAGAGCTGAGGCAACAGCAACCCACTAGCATAGGCTGACCTTAAACTTACTAAGCTGCAGGTTTATGATACAAAGATCCAGCCTCTAGGTACTTAAAAGTATAGATTTTATTTCTTTTTTTGCAAAGAGGACTCTTGGGCAAATGATGACACGGCAACTAGAGATAGCAAAACTCTTCTGAGATTTTGTCACAGTCCTTAAAACCCTTCTCTGAGAACTGCTTTTCCTGTTTGCCCCTACTACTCGCCACTGTCCTTGGTAACATGGTATTCTCCTTGTTTTTCCGACAAAAGGTTACTGAACCAAGGATTAATGCTGGATCCAAGAGGGCTGTTGACAGTCTTCCAAAAGAAATTGGCTGTGGGCATTGTGGCCCATTCCTAGCAGCTGTTTGAACCAAGGGCCTTGCAAGCTCAATGTCAGGCTCATGGAGGAGCTGAGAAAGACAATCTAGAGAATGCACAAAGAACAGCTATGCAGAGAGAGGAACAAGCCAGGGAGAGATAGAGAGAAGCAGGTTAGGAGGTAAAGGGTAGGGAGGGCTGATATTCTTCCTTGATTTTTCCATTTTCTAGCTCCAGTCCTACCAGAGGGCTACATACATTCCTATACCTGGATACAAGCAAAGACAAAACATTAAATTATGATAAGTATTACTGGGTACAAATGATTGGGAGTATGGACTCTTAATAAATTCGGCTGCTAAAATATATATACACGGATATATACACCTATTTATATAATGGAACACATGTATATATATGGAGAATACACACTGACTAAAACTCAGACCACTTGAAAAGTAAAGATTGTTATTCAGACATTAGCAGCACCTGCATAATCCATCTAAACATTTTGGTTTAACAAATTTCTGTTAACCAAGTAAGAAAAGTGTATTATAATTCTTAAAACAATAAGTCCTACTTCTCTTAATTCCTGTTAGAGTCATCATTTAGCATATTCACCTGAAAACCACAAAATGCTTATTGATGAATACAGATAGTTGAGTTAATGATTTTATAATAAATGATGGCTATGACAATTCAGGATAAGTATGCAATGAATGTAACCTATTATCCTGTAAGGCTTCCTTAATACAGTTTTCTCTATCAGAAATTGTCTGTCTAGGAATTAACAGAAAACACAGAAAACCATACATATGTAATATATTTTACAATTTAATTATCATAGAAATATGCTGCCATGTTAAAGAAAGGAAGATTTAAAATTTTTAATGAGGAGCTACAGATAGTTTTCCTAACTTAAAACTAACATTTAGGACAGACGTTTCTCTAATTCAAGTGTTTTCTTTCTATCGTAAAGCATCCTGTAAGTAACAAAGATCCCACTGGTTTTCACACAAAAATCTATCCACCATAGTAAATATAACCTAAATGCTCCAATGTTAAGGCAATAAACATTTTGCAGAAGTTTTTAAGATGCTGAAGCTTGAGAACCAATAGGGATTGAACATACTAGTGATGGAAGAAAAATAGAGCTATTGATTGCAAATCTATCATTAGTTTACAGGTCAATACATGTTTTCCAGTTAACAGTAGTAGCCAGAGAAGGTCTCCATGCTTGTGGAATTATTACTTCATTGAAGGGCTTATTTTAAGTCATACGATCAGCATTTACTATCAATACGCTGCAATTAAGCAATACTGATATATAAAAATATAAGCTTATAAATGGATACATCATAGAGAAGGCACTTAGAATGGTATAAAAAAGGACCCACAAAGGCAGAGATGTGTTTTGTTTCTCCTAGAACACCTAGAACAGTGACCGGTACACAGTAGGTGCTGAATGATCACACGAATAAGTTTTCTTTACAAAGGCGAAAGTTTCCACACAGCTTCACTGACTGTTTCTCCATCCCTAATGACACGTAGAAGCACTTTAAGGCCATCTCTACTCCTGCAGCGTCCGCAGATGCAGGAAAGCTAAGTGACTACTGGAGATGGGTTCTTTTTTTTTTTTAATTTTTTTTTTTTTTTTACGTTTATTTATTTTTGGGACAGAGAGAGACAGAGCATGAACGGGGGAGGGTCAGAGAGAGAGGGAGACACAGAATCGGAAACAGGCTCCAGGCTCTGAGCCATCAGCCCAGAGCCCGACGCGGGGCTCGAACTCACGGAGCGCGAGATCGTGACCTGGCTGAAGTCGGACGCTTAACCGACTGCGCCACCCAGGCGCCCCTGGAGATGGGTTCTCATCGCACTCTGCCACTAACTTGTTATGAGTCTTAGGGTAAGTGACGTGACCATTCTGGCTATCAGCTCTCTTGTCTGTAAACTTCAGTGACCGGAATAAATGAACTATAATCCAGTTGAGGATTCTTTTTAAAAGCTAGTTTTCTAAGGCCACTTAAAATATGATTTGGTGTATACAAATTTTGTATCATTTAAACCTTCAGAAACATACTTATGAGGCAAAATCAGAGACACGCATAGCTTTAATTCTGAACACTTTCCCTCTTCAGGACGGTACTTTACATAATATCAGCATATAAGCAGAAGCTTTAAATATTTATAGCAAACAAATTATCTGACTTTAGAAAAACCAGACACATTACTTTATGTTCTAATTTATATAGATTATTTTAATGGTAAAATCCCCATGTATGAGTTTCATTTTACTTCTATAGTACAAATCTGTGATCTCCTCCTCCTCATCAAACTGTTCACACTCTAAGACAATCACATGCTTGCCTCTGTCCCCTTACTGGAGAGCTCTATGAGAACATAATAAAGTAGGTAGAGACTGGTATCTGGAACAACTGATTCCTAATACTCTTGCAGCCTGCCCAGATGCCACCTACTCATCTTGACTGTAAATGCAGGGTTTTCATATCATATGATAAAAAAAAATTAATGGGTCCAAAATCGTTCTTAAAGAATGAATCAGAATTACATACTTTTAGAATTTGGAGACATAAGGGTAAATAACCTTACCTGGGCAAGCTTACGCTTTTCTAGATTTCCTCCCTTTTCATTGTGTAATGTGTAAACTGGTGTATATTGTACAGAACCAGAACAGGTCCCATAATCTTCTTCATTTTCCTACACATGAAGAAATATACAAGGAATTATTTTAAAATACTCCTTTTATTACTTTTAGACAAACTATCCGATATAGATGCAAATACCAAAATAATGCTTCAAATGTAAGTTTAAAAACTCTATTTCAGAAGAAAATGCACTTTTATATATTATGCATTAATGATTTCTAAATTAATCTCTTTTGAATAACATGAATAAAAGCTATTATTTACTCTCCATCACAAAAATGGAAGTTTCAAGTAGTATTTGTTCTTCAAAGGTAGATATTCAAAACAACTGACAAAATCTGTAAAGATATAATATGTAATCAAATTGAAAACACATATACATACACATAAATATTCATATACATGCAATATTCATAGATTCAAATACATATCTTCAAACACAATCTTTTATAAATTAAGAACATGCTTCAAATTAAAGTAGCTACAGTTAGAAAGTTCCTATAAAGCCAAATGATGGCATTCCTGGCTTGATTCTGCACCAAAGATCATCTTTTTAAAGAAATTCTCAGCTTGAAGCAAGAATTTCAATTGTGATATCAAGGCAATCAACTTTATGAAAACATACATCCTGTTAAAGCATCTTTGAAGATCTCCGTTGTTCTGTGATAAAATATGCAAACAATAAAGAGATTATTCAGTGGATGCATACAGAATGGCAGATAGTTGCCAGAGGGCTTGTTATGAAAAATACATTCTTGAACAAAGGGCTAAGCATATTTCAAACATCATTAAAAACATAAATCTCATGTGATTTGTAAAGTATGAGCTTCAAACTAATGCAAGAATCAAGGAAGAATGAAAAGAATATGACGTACCTTATGTTTTAGCTTACTCTTCACTTCCTTTATTCCCTGCTTTGCATGATTTTTTGCCTAGAAAAAGGTAACGCAAGTGTCTGGCTCACCATGGTTCTATTACCACTTAAAGAGTTAGCAGATGAGATCACACTCCATGAAACTTGCTAACTTCATATTATTTAGAAAAAGAACAAATTATAATCTAAAACTCTTAATTCTTCAGGGAAACCACACCACTTACTATTATATCTAAATTAGTGAAAACGCGATTAGTCTCTATTTGCATTCTAGTACCATACAAAGGCTAACATTTAGCCTATTTTGCCTCCTAAGCTGTAGAAAACACAGCCCAGTCTTAATTTGCAATTGTGATTAACTGGTGGTGAAAGGAGAAAGCACAGCAGCAGGTTATTTGGGCAAATGTTTGGACTTTAAAGAAACGGGCAACTTTACAAAGCTTTACTGAAGTGCTTTTACAGGCAGACACACGTTTTTATTAGCAGAGATATTTTAAAGTTATGGCTATTTCATGTACAGTTTTTCCGGCATAAATTAAAAGCCACTTAACAAAAGATGCTATCTTCATGTTCCATAGGGAATCTGGCTCCAGTATTTGAGCATCTCAGGTCCTGATGTGATTCCTGTGGGATATAATTTAACTAAAGACAACTGGCCTTGGCCTTTGTTCCATTGGAAATTCCCAGAGTGGCCACGGACGAAAAGAAAGGAAATTCACATTTATGTTATGTTTCCTCAGTATTTGATCATGTGCTGGGTACCTGACATGTATCAGCTCATTTAATCATTACAAATCTATGAAGTTAGGACAATTATTATGACATTTTTACAGATAAGGAAAGTGACTCAGAGGAGATCGGTCTGCATAGCCTCATTCCAGATCTGGGTCTATTTAATTCCTGAGTCCAACTTCTCCCCATCAGAATGGAGAAGGAAGAACTAAAGTTTTTAAAATAGATCTACTGAATCTAAGCCTGACACAAGAAAAGGCATTACAAGTCTCATTCTACAGACATGGAAACTGAGGTCATACAGACTGAAGACTTTCTAATTCCAATATTCTTGCTCCTACCAAACCATCCTGCTTCCTGAATTACTTCTAGGAAGAGTGAATACATGTCTTCCCAAGTTCATTTAGGGGAAGGCTCTCATTTCTTTCCGGATAATATCTGTAGTACCTAATATAATATTTGGCATATAGTAACTGCTCAAGAAATGTCTTGAACTCAACTAAACAATTATTTCTTCATTGTATATGACGCAAAATCAAAACATGCTACACATAGTAAAAGATAACCTAAAACACCAAATAACACTAAATTATATTCCCATGGTTCTTTGGAATTAATAAAGCATTTTCACATTGTTTTATTGTTAAAGCCTCTGAATCTATTTAAAGGGTCCTATATTGGGGCGCCTGGGTGGCGCAGTCGGTTAAGCGTCCGACTTCAGCCAGGTCACGATCTCGCGGTCCGTGAGTTCGAGCCCCGCGTCGGGCTCTGGGCTGATGGCTCAGAGCCTGGAGCCTGTTTCCGATTCTGTGTCTCCCTCTCTCTCTGCCCCTCCCCCATTCATGCTCTGTCTCTCTCTGTCCCAAAAATAAATAAACGTTAAAAAAAACATTTTTAAAGGGTCCTATATTAATCCCTACATTCTCATTAGGTAAAAATGAAAAATTACTAAGAAAATGTGCCTGTCTCTATCTTCTAGAATTTTTATCCATATTTGCTCACATTTTGTCATATTCTAATTTACCTAAATATTCTCTAACCTTTCAAAATCCACTTGATTCACACTAATCTTTTCAGGAGCTCTTCAGTATACAGAGTTGAATCTAGTGTCAGTCATGGTTCTGTAATTCATGGACTGATTCCCTTACGCATCTCTTGTCCTACCCTCCTCCACCGACCTCTTTCAGATGATCTGGAAGATGGGGTACAGGCTCTATCCTTTTCAATCTACCAAGTTGAAACTTACCAATAAACAAGTATTCTTTACAGAGAAGCACCCAGCAAATCGCTTTGGCTAATAATTTAAAATACAAAAACCTAACAAGAAAGTTGACTCAGAAACGCTTTTAGCCAAATCAATTATGTATTCACTTTACTGTTATTTTTTAGATTTCTAAGAAAGTGTATCTGTTAATTCTAGTTTTCTTTATGGCCCCTCTAAGCACAGAAAAATAGAAGTATAAAACACATAGAAAAAAATGTTTCAAGTACAGAAAAACTGTTCTAAGTATAGGACAAAGTCATTATCTCCTTCAACAAAACATATTCAGCTCCTTTGTAGTACATGCAAAGTACAGAGCAAAGTAACAGTGATACAAACATGAAATTAGCAGGAACAGTACCTCTCCCCCTCCCAGTACCTGCCACACTCACTGCTCTAACTCAGATAACCAGCATAAGGCCTTCTTCATGGGAGGTACTCAAACAATTTACTGAATGAATGAAAGTTTAAAACACGGTTCCTTTTTTAAAACTTTACTATCTATAGAAACACAAGTAAATAAATTCTGTTAAACCCATACAAGAGAGATTGGGAGTTTTGTTCATAGTAATTTGTGGTCAAAGGAGGAATTTCAAGAGTTCATATTTCAGAAGATGAGCAGCCTGGAAAGATGAGTTTTAGATACAACTATGAAAGTCACAAATTGGCTTTCTTGTCCCAAATCTCTTTGACTTCTTGATTCATGTACAACATGATCACAAGATCATAAGATAAATAAAGCAAAGTGATTAGGTATATTCTGAAGACCTTAAATTGCCTGAAATCAATTTAGGGAATAATCTTTCAGAGAGCACAATTTTTAATCTGGAAACATTTGACTCTTCTGCAGAAGAGCGTTCTCAGCAAAAAAATAAAATACTGATTAGAAAGTTAGAAATATGAACAATGAATGAAGTTTTAAATATGTTTGCTTTATTTCTGGGTTTTTGTGGGAAAATATGAGTGAAATTAAGGAGAGAAACACATACTTAGCAAAATAATACAATACATTTTCTCTGAGCCTGAGGAAAAACTTCAAGTGTTTGCCCAAGGAATTAAATGAAGGGCACTTGACTGGAAAACCTTTTTTAGAATCTTAAATGAATGTGAAAGCAAGGCTAGTCTGATGTTTCACATGGCAGCCAAGTGCTACTTCATTGTAAAAAATTAAAATCTCTTCAAAACTGTATATAAATCAAACCACCAGTATTAGTATTATAGTGAAATAGAGTGATATACACAGAGAGGTTTTCCAGAAAAGCCATGAAACAATCAACCAAAAGGCAGAGGCTGATGTTTCCAAGGCAAAATGATGAAACCTTCCTACTTTTATTTTTATGATAAGGCTTCAAATAGTTCAGAATTTTGGCACCATATTTTTGAATCAACTCTGTAGATTAGCTGTGCTACTATAAAATGTAATCTTTGAAACTGACTTTTTTTAAACAATAATGGTGGCTACACATATTTGTCATAATTGTACACCACAGCAAGAATATATGTTCTACGCTTATTTTTTTTCTTTTTTTTTTTTTTTCTTTTTTTTTTCTTTTTCAACGTTTTATTTATTTTTGGGACAGAGAGAGACAAAGCATGAACGGGGGAGGGGCAGAGAGAGAGGGAGACACAGAATCGGAAACAGGCTCCAGGCTCTGAGCCATCAGCCCAGAGCCTGACGCGGGGCTCGAACTCACGGACCGCGAGATCGTGACCTGGCTGATGTCGGACGCTTAACCGACTGCGCCACCCAGGAGCCCCAGTTCTACGCTTATTAAAATACATTATTCCATTACTAATTCAATCGTATCATTTCCTTTACTGAGAAAGCATTTGAAGATAAATTCTTATAAAGTCAAAACTACTGCCCTGAATATTTTTTAGAAATACGAAATATACATGACCTGTGGCATTTAAAAAATTACTTCATTGAATACGAATCTACTAGCTCCTACCTCAAGTAGCTCTAGTCTAATATTAGAGATGAAGATGCCCACACGAAAACCTGTGCTGAAACAGAGGTATGTCTGAAGGTCTTATGAGGACCTGGGAGGTATATAAACCCTGTGAATGTGGGGTTGGAAAATGTTTTCTCAGGGAAACAACTAATGCCTAAACTAAGTCTTATAGGATGAATTAGTGTTTACTCGGTGGACAAAACCCAGAAATAAATGTCCCAAGTGGTGGAAATGGATTGTGTAAGAACAGAGGCAGAAGAGAAAATCTTGCATTCATGAAATGAGGAGCACTCAAGATCTGGAGAGAGAGGGTAAGCTCGGGGAATTGGGGTGAATTGAAACAGGACACAAAAGGGGTTAGGTCTTGAGGGTCTTAGTTAACATATTAAAGATATTTTAATTTTATTAATTGTTTATTGTTATTGCTATTGATACAGCTGTTTTTATTTTATCATAAGCCATGGATAATCACTGAAGAATTTTAATTATGGAGAGTCAAGCATCTTTGAGGGAAAAGAACTTACCCTAATTTTCTGGGTTTTTTTCTATTTGAACCTCAGTATACAATGAGAATTTAAAATATGTCAATAAATTAAAAAGTCAAATCTCTAAAAATGGCACTTCATTAGGGACTGTTGCAATTTGAGTGCACAATTTTCCTCATTGCTTTGAAATAAAATGAAGAATTGGTTTTAAATAACATGAAGGGAATATCCTTTCTACACAATAATTTCAATAACTGAATTCACTTTGATCAATATTAACTCCACAATTTTTTTAAAAAGTTTTTTTTAGAGAAAAAATGGGGGGTCCCTCAGTGGCTCAGTTGGTTAAGTGTCTGACTTTGGCTCAGGTCACTATTTCACAGTTTGTGGGTTTGAGCCCCGCATCAGGCTCTGGTCTGACTGCTCAGAGCCTGGAACCTGCTTTGGATTCTGTGTCTCCCAATATCTCTGCCCCCCCACCGCCCCCACTCATGCCCTGTCTCTCTCTCTCTCTCAAAATCAAATAAACATTAAAAAAACATTTTTTTTAAGAAAGAAAAAAAATGGGAGGTATTCTAGATTTACATGTCTGTTAGCTAGGAAAATGTAAAATTTTATCAATAAGAAAACTTACAAATTTATATGCTGTCCGTACAGCTGGAGTTGCTTTGGTCATTGCTGTGTTAAACAGTGCACCTCCTCTCTGCAAACAAACAAACAAACAAACAAACCAAAAAGATGTATTTCCAAAATTTTTAAAACCAGATTAACCTGAAAACAAAGCATTATTAATAGCACAGAAAAAGAGGTTTACTTACAAATTAAACAAAGACCTATAGAAGTTACTTCAGATTTAGTCTTTTCAAGCTTTCATATACCATATATGGTCATTTCAGATAAAATGTAAACCCTCTACTCCATTCCTTTAGTTGGTATAATACATGATTTAAAAATCATTTCAGCTTTGCAGTTTAGGCAGACTAGAGCAATAGGACCCATCATAGGTATGTAGTTAAAACTTGATAAGAAAGAAATATAATCTGGGCACCGGGGTGGCTCAGTCTGTTAAGCATCCGACTTTGGTTCAGGTCATGATCTTGAGGTTCATGAGTTCGAGTGCATCAGGTTCTGTGCTGACAGCTCAGAGCCTGGAGCCTGATTCAGATTCTGTCTGTCTGTTTCTCTCCATCAAGAATAAATAAACATTAAAAAAAAAAAAAGAAATACACTCAAACTGTTTATCAACTGTTTTAAGGTTGGGCAATACAGTCTAAATCTCTGGAGGTGAGTTTTACATTTAATAAAATCGTATTAACAAAACACATTACCAGAAATGATAAAACTCCTCTCAAATCCTATTTCTCCTAATTCTTTTGTTCTAGGATATAATATAAAGTGACAAAAACATCTTGATTTTCTTTTTTTTTTTTTTTTTTTCAACGTTTTATTTATTTTGGGGACAGAGAGAGACAGAGCATGAACGGGGGAGGGGCAGAGACAGAGGGAGACACAGAATCGGAAACAGGCTCCAGGCTCTGAGCCATCAGCCCAGAGCCTGACGCGGGGCTCGAACTCACGGACCGCGAGATTGTGACCTGGCTGAAGTCGATCGCTTAACCAACTGCGCCACCCAGGCGCCCCAGAAAACATCTTGATTTTCAAAACAAGCCATTTATCTCTGAACAAAAGCTTTCCATTTTAAAATTATGAATATCAAACTATAATAGCATAAAATAAAAATATTTAAAATGTGACAAAATATACAAACATTTTAAGTATTGCTAATAAATAGCATAAGTATAAGCAGCATCCTTTTAGTGAACATTTCTCCATATATTTTGAGTGAAGGAGGAAGAAGTGGTGAAGGGTTATCATTACCTTGACTGTATGCACCCACTGTTGATATGACCTCGGGTTCCCTGGAATATATAAAAATAAGATGTCAGGACTATTTGATCTAAAATACATCCATCAACTAAAATTCATCAAGAACTAATACCTCCAGGATTTTAACAAATTTTGTTTATCTGCAATGTTGTGAAAAATGCAATAGTATTGTATAATAAACTGCTCTAATTCTTAGAAACACGGTAATTAGCATTTCCAAGAATAGACACGGTTTTCTTTAGTCACATATGAAGGTAATATGTCAAAACACTCTATCTTCTTTCGTTTTAATATTGTATTCAGAGAGGAAAAATATGCTGTCTCTTTTAAAATCCAAGGTTCCTATGTCTTTTATACCATATTTTGTGTTTTATGTCTATGTTGTCTTTAAAGTTTGCCTCTTTTATGCAATTAGGTTCACTTAAAAATAATATTGCAAGTGCACAGAGAAAGAAAAAACTAAAAAGGGATTAAAAAATGCAAAAACCCAGGGGCGACTGGGTTGGTTAAGCATCCAACTCTTGGTTTCAGCCCAGGTCATGATCTCATGGTTCAGGAGTTCAAGCCCCACGTTGAGCTCTGTGCTGACAGCACAGAGCCTGCTTGGGATTCTTAATCTTTCTCCCTCTCTTTGTCTCTCAGAATAAATAAACATTGTTTTAAAAAATGCAAAGAACCTTGAAGACAAAATATTCTATAGTTTTTAAATATCAACATTAATTGACAGCAAATTTTACTTTAATGCAATTAAACTACAGTCATAGTTCTGTAGATACTCTCTAGTTGTAAATCCAAGGTTGAAAATATAGTACCCAAGGAAATATAAAACAAACGAAGGTTTTAGTCTACAGGGCATTGTGGTTATTAGAAAGTTCAAATGCTGACCAATTCTTTTTTTAAAAAATTTTATTCAAATTCCAGTCAGTTAACATACAGCATAATAGTAGTTTCAGGTGTACAATATAGTGATTCAACACTTCCGTACAATACTTGGTGCTCATCACAGGTGGACTCCTTAAAACCAGTTCTAAAAACCTAGTAATCATATATTTGGTTCCAAGTATGGTAATGTAATCAATAAAATGGTATTAGAAGGCAAAAAAAAGAACATGATCTCAAGTAATGTCTTATATCAACTGACTTAGATTTCATGTACCTTCTTCATTTAAATGCTTAAAAAACATGGCCATTCAAAGACTATCTGGTACAAAGAATCCCTAAAACAGATTAAGGTCTCTTCTTTTTTTAATGGAGGTATAACTTAGATATAACATTATATCAGCTTCAGATATAGAGCATAATGATTCGATACATTGGGAAATGATCACCACAATTAATCTAGTTAAATCTGTCACCATACATGTTCTCCACTGTGTATAGTTGTGTCCTTTTAAAAAATTCATTACCTTGCTGTCATAAAACAGAGGCAGAATGATTCCAGCCCAAGAATTTATTTCCAGCTGTTCTCTTTGCATTCCTAACCAACATCAGGCAAAATGTGTTCAGCTCTAAAATTACTCCTGTAATTAAAATCTTTCTCTACTTTAAAAAAAAAAATCAAGAAACAACCCCCAATTGCTAAAAGCATCGCTTACGACTCAGCACGGCACTTAATTGGAAGAAAATATATGGCAAAATAATATTTTTTTCTAATTTTGTGATATGATTATAGCAAAAAGTGTCTACTTAAAATAGCCTGTGTAAGTGAAATGTGCACTGTTCAAAACCTATGAGTTCCAGGTGGTGTTTGGCCTGAACAATTTTTTTGAAATCATATTTCACTTGCAAAATGACAAAAATTCAAGTTATTGTATTTGTATTGTATTTATTTCTAAGGAGATTTTATTAACAAAAAAAATTAAACAATATAACTATATCCAAATTGTTCATATACGCTTACCTATTCAAAGTTCTCATCAGTTCATATATTTTTAACTTCTCTACTATAAATGGTTGGGTAGAAATCACACATTTAAGGGCGGGTTATCACTTATAGTATTCTGGGAAGAGTTTTATTTTCATTCTCTTTCCAAAATGAATTTAAGAAAGTGGAAAGAGAAACACTAACTTCTATGTGACAACTATTTAGCATTTTAGAATACTTGTCATCCAGAAAACAATTTTTTAAAGGCTCCAAACTACAAAGAAAATAGCTAGCAGAAAACTTCAGCGCAGTTAGAGAAGAGTATCTTATTTAGAGTTGTGAGGAATAAAATAGCTCATATTCAGCTCTTCACAGGCCACTAAATGTTTTTACGTACATTACCTTATTTGAGCTGTGTTTTTGTACTCTAAAATAGGCAAAGCAGGTAGTGTCTTAAGCAGCACATTCCAAGCACAGTTCAATGAGGAGTCCAATAGATCAGGGGGCTCAAGTCCACTGTATCTTTGTAAACTATGCTATTTGGGACCAGTCCTTAACCTGGTTGCTACAATGTTACTTAGTATAGTACCTAGCATATCACAGACACACCATACATACAAGTTTTATTGCAATAACTCGCCAAATGAGGAAACTGAAGGTTCTGAAGTGGCCCTAGGTCACAAAGATAGCAACTGAAGAATAATAAGAATCCGGGTATTTGAATTCCTGGTTAAATAGTCCTTCAGCCCAGAAATTCTACCTCTTAGACTGCTAAATAAAATATGATAAAACTTAAGATATATAGAGATTTCTTCTGTATCAGTTCAAAGTAATTACACTAGAAAGGAAAAGGGGCTGCTCAAAGCTGATACTTTGAGAAGAAACAGTTGACAGAATCACCAATAATAATCCAGAATTATATGCAGGGGGAAAACAGGAAGTCCCCAAATAAACTACTTAAAATGGTAGGGAAACATGTGGTACAATTTAGGTATTCCTATTTAAAATTTTTAAAAAGAGGGGCACCTGGGTGGCTCAGTCACTTAAGTGTCTGACTTCTGCTCGCGTCATGATCTCATGGTTTATGAGTTCAAGCCTGATGTTGGGCTCTTCTCAGAACCTGGAGGCTGCTTTGGATTCTCTCTCTACTCCTCCCCTTCTTGCGTGTCTGTTGCCCTCTCTCCCAAAAATAAATAAATAAAACATTAAAAAAATTATGATATTTGTTTCTTTAAATTTAGTGCCTTTCAGATTGAAAGCTTCTATTTCTACAAAATTTATGAGACAGGCACATTATTCTTTAAAAATGTTTTTGAGGCTGTTTTTCTTCTCAAAAAAATTAATGTGAATGCCAGAAAACTCTCTGAGTCTTTCCATTAAAGTAAATGGATTATGGAAATAATAAGTGTCATTGAGGAAATTCTTAACATTGTTCTCATTCATCATACCAGTGATTTTCTCACACCCAAGGACAAAATATCTTTGTTTCCCCCTTGTGCAAAGACTTCATCTTCAAATGTATTTGTTTGAATTCCAGTAATTTGTAGTTACTGTTCAAAAAGTATATAAATTGACCTAAATTGTTCAGTGAAGCCTGGAAAATGTCACTAAAACTGAAGATCACCTACCATCTCTTCAAATTCCTCTGATGCCTTAGGCAGTAAAAAAAAAAGAAAAGAAAAGAAAAGAAAAAGAAAAAGAAAAGGAAAGAAAAGAAAAGAAAAGAAAAGAAAAGAAAAGAAAAGAAAAATACTACTATATAAATAAAAGACTGATCAGAAATCTATCAGAAAGTAAGAGACAAATGCTACTAATGAAGAATAACTACATGCTTCTATATAAAATCAATCTGAAAATATTTGTTTTTTTACGTTTAAATAATTGGAAGGGGGTTTAAAAACTAGTCTTATTTTAAATGAAAAAAAAAATACAAAAAACCACCTCCATGTTCTTAACTACTCAGTATTCCTTAGCTACTTTTTCATAGACCAATATCTGTGTTTACTGCATCCTCTGCTCTACTTATGTCCCCTTTTATTACCTTTTAGCCTCCATGGATACTCTTCCCTTTACATACTTCCTGATATTTACATTACTTTCCTCTTAAGGTTGAATGTTCTACAAAGGTCTCATGAAAAACAATTGGGAGTAACAGGGATTTCTTCACAGTCCTGACCACAGGGACTCACAGGATAGCAAACAGATTTTGGAAACCTGTATGCATTTCAGTCTTTAACCAGAGTTCTAAGATTCAATGTGAATCTAGATTGAATGTGTAATTCAATAATTACACGGTTCCACCACGCTCATATTAACTTTATCACAACCACATATACTAGCATGCAACTGGCCGTTGCAATGACACAGAAATTAGATGACACAGGGGAGAAATTAGATGCTTCTCTGAAATTCCCTAACTATTTTTGCTTAAAGGAACATAATTTTTTCTTCAGCTTTAATGAATGTCGATTTCTCTTACGGTGATCTTTCTTAGGGCTTTATGTTTCAAAAATCTTCAACAGATAATCAAGAGACAGGAATTTTACTTTTATCCAATCACAGTAGAGAAGGCTTGACTACTACTCTTGTTTACTGAATGTCTTCTAATTAAGAAGATCTCTTATCATAAGAAAGCAATATATTATAGTTACTAAAGCAAAAGCTTGGAAGCCAGACAGATACATGTTGAGTTCAGATTCTAGCACTACTAGCTGTGTGACCTTGAGCAAATTACTGAGATAAGTGCCCTCATAAAAACAGGGATAGGTAATCAAACTATTTCATAGGTGCTGTGAGGATTAAATGAGATCAAGTTTGTAGAGCTCTTGTAAGAGATTCTGTCACATATTAATATTCAATAAGTAGGAACAATTATAATTATTACTATGAGAGAAGCGGCAGTTATAACCATTTACTTCTTTGAAAAATAGTTCAATATCATGATAAAGACATCTTATTTCTTACAAATGCAGTCTACATGACAAATGTCTAATGTTCTTTCATATATATATCATCGTTTATAAGAACATTACTAATTTTTATTAGATTATTCACATTTTTATTTCAAGTCCTAATAAATTGTGCTTTATTTTATACTAAGAATAAGGTCTCTGTATCTCTAAAATAATAACCTAAAATATAATAATTAAAAATAATACTTAATAGCTAGGCACAATTTTTAATATACTTTCTTGCTGTACACATTGAAATTAATATTTGTTGAACTACCCTTTCCTTTTGAATCAGTATTGCCCACCCTCCCACCAAACTAAAATAAGTGTTCAAAACCTTTTTAATTTTAAGGAGGGACAATAAAGTGGTTGGCATGAAATTGTACTGAAAATATAGCAGTCTCTAAGTCAGATGCCAGCTGGCGATCAGTGTTCCATTCTTTTTAAACCATAAGACCTTTATTGAACAATGTTAGTAACCCCTCTCACACCAGAAAACCCATCTACCTTCTATTCTATTCTATTACAGAGGAATCTGGACCAATGGTTAAGACTACAGAATTTAACTATACAAAACGATCATAGTTCTACCCATTACTGTCACAAGATGTCATCTTCAATTCCATAGAAGATACTAGCCCCACGGGTCATAAAAATAATGAGACAGCAGTTATATAAATACTGAATAGATGCCTCAAGCAATTTGTCCATGAGCTGACAATATTTTGCTTGTCTGAGTTCAAAAGTAAAAAAGCCTTATTTTAACACAAAAGTTCCATTGAAGCTAAATTTTTACCCATGAGCTGAGGAAAGCAAGGAGCTGAATGATTCCACACTTGGTTGACTTACTGAGTCAAGTAAACTAAGTTTTTCCCAAAGCTAAATGCTTTCAATGAAATGCTGTACTTACACCAGAGGAAGATCCATATGCTTAGTTCATTTGGACCTCTCTTCACGAACAAGTTATCTCAATGTTTTGTATATTTTTATGGAGCAAAAATAAATCTTATTTGAGAATAAAATCACATTTTGGCAAATGTGTAGATGAGTACTTATTACTACGTCTTTTCATGTTTTATTTCTCAATTCTAGCAACTATTTATTCACACATAAAGACATTTTCTTCCCAAATTAAACCTACAAATAAATAGAAAAAATTACTATTATGCCTGCTGAAAATGAACACACCAGAGACTGTTGTTTGTTTGGTTCACCCTGTTGTCTAGAACAGTGCCTAGCACATAGTAAATACTTAGCACAAATACTGGCTGAATGAGTGCATATGACATTTCAAGGACTCCAGCAAAATTCTCTGCCAGAGTCAGGACTATATACTGAAGCAATCACGTACAAAGTACCAGTTCGTAAGTAATTAACTGCCTAGAAATTACAACGTGGTTTGAATACTTACATATCAAATAGTGTAACTAATTATATTAACTTTCATTGTATTAAATAAAAATGCAGTATCACCTAACTTATGTTTCACACATACAAAATAATACGACGCCTTCCATTTGTTAGTGAGCACTTTTTACAGTGACAAGTGTAAGCACATGGGATGGTAAACTGAAAAGTCTTTTCCTCATGCTGCAGTGTTCTGCAAAGCAAAAAAAAGGTAAAGGCTTCTATAACAACACACTCACTTAAAATGTAAAAGCAGCTGTGGTATTCAAATCTTTTGTTTTATATTATATTACAATCTAATATTTCAACTATAATCTCAGTTCTTTAAATCTTACTTAGTATTAGCCAGCACTGTGGGTTTTTTAGCGGAGAATACTAAAGGAAGATATAAACTAATTGCATTTCAGTGACATTTAGTTCTACTACTATTAAGAGATTATCCAAGAAAACAACTACCAATTCATGAGACCATCTTAACACCTTGAATAATAAAATAAGTTAATACCACAGCTCTTATAAGATGAAAAAAAATGTATCTAAAACATTGTATGCTTAAGAAAATACAACTGTTTATGAAGTAGATTGTATCAGATACAGGAGCAAAAATCAAGGCAATCGCTATTCAGAAAATGGATAATCATACTGAAACTAGTCTTTACCTCCACAAAAGCCACCTGAAGTGATTTCCTCTTCAAATACATCAGAGAAACCCCGTCCTGCATTTAATTTTGCCAGTCGACCATCAATAAACTGAAATTAAAAAGTGTCAAATACGTTAATTTTCACTTTCTTAAACTTTTACTTATATCAAAAGATTCATATCAGACACTCATAAATATAAAATATGCACATATATGTACATGTATACACACATCTACATGTACATGACAAGAAAACTCTCAAACATTGAAATAGCAGGCACTCAATAAATAACAGCTAATTTATTAAATAAAAAATGTACAGTACAGACTCTTACTTCATTAATAAGAAAAAGAATGTACTATTTACTGGCATTTGGTTACTTTCTATTTTGTTGATCTATGGCATCTGAAATTTCTCTTTCTTGGATTATAAAAAAATATTACAAATGTTTTGAGGTTTCTCCATTCCTAATGAAGGTAAAGTATCTTTAAGCCTCCCTTGCATAAGAGACAAAGGGTAACCATAAGAAAGATTTAAATGATGTCTGAAGCGTAGACTTGAAGATTTGGAGACTAATATAAAATGTTCATTTTCATGCTGGAATTAATCCTGGCTACAATTTTTTTTAACCTGGAAAGTTTAAATTTAGTCAAATTAAAATAAAGTACCTTGATTTTTAAAAAATTCTCACACTCTGTTCTAGTTTAAAAAAAATACAGTTTTCTATTTAAATGAACAAAACTAATTGAGTTCTATAGAGCAATACAGTTTTCCTCAGGTAGCAATTTAACATTTAATGGTTTAACTATTTAATAGCAGTAAGTTACACCAGTTAAAAGACTTTGGAACAGAAATCTCTTACAGACCAAAATTAAGACACAAATGAATCAACAGTTTCCAGTTCAAAATGTGGTTTAACTACTTTTATATTATTACAGATTAATTTTGACCCAAGAAGTGGCAAGATGGGTTTAAATAGACATAGCCTAAAAGGATATATAGTCATAGCTTTTTTTTTTTTTTAGTATAAATTGCTTTCATAAAAATTAGAAAATTTTGAGAGCTAGGTACCACAGATTACCCATTTTTAGTCTCGTTATGCTTGGCGTTCAAAAAATTTCCGATAGTATAAACAAATATGAACATGGAGTTTGGAGAATGAAAGGCTTACATCACATCTCTGCCACTTACTAGCTTTATGATCTTGGGAAACTTGTCTCTGAGTCTCTGTTTCCCCTCTATAAAATGGGAATAATAATAAATATCTTCTAGTGTTTTGTAAGGGTTAAATGAAACAATACGAAGTACCCAGACTCCAGGCACAGAATAAATGTTAAATACTAAAATCCATTTTTCCCACGACCACCATCACCTTTCAATCACTATTAATTTCCGAGTTTACAGGATCACTGTCTGTCTCATGTGTGTATCTTTAATATCTGGCAAATGCTTAACATATAGTTTGAAATGAATGTCTGCTGAAAGACTGAAGTATACCGAAACATTGTGAACAGTCCTATATTTACATGATTTTAAAGGTAACTAATTACAACATATAGAATTATGCATTTCATTCTATCTTGAGATAAAACATGGTAACAATGTACGGCTACATATAATAAATGGTTAATTTGAAAATAAAGTGGTTTAAAATGCTTGCAAAATTTGACTTTCACAGATTTTCAACATAACATTATAAATCAAACTATAGTGGTCTAATTTGATGGACTAAGTATCGTTGTGAAAAAAGTAAGGTGAAGCAAAATGATAAATTTTAAGTAATACATTACTGACGAATGGCACAAAGTAAGACATCCTTTTAAGGGACTTAATTTGCTTTAAAAGATTAAGACTACAAGACTTTTTAAAAGGTTTTCATTTTTATGTTTACTAGAAATAATCCATCCATTTTAGTTTGAGTGGAACAGTTCAACGTCTAAAAAGAGATAAATCCCCAAACTATTTACTGATTATGCATTTTCGAGCATGAGTAACTACTTCGTGTTACTGAACTCGTGAATCAAGCCAATAAAAATTAATCACTTGGTAAAATGCCACGTGTTATCACTGACTCTGCAAACAATCCTGTCAGTGACAGACACTGATCTTTCATGAAAATGTTTGTTTTTAAAATAAAAGATGGATTTCGTACGTATATATTCTATATATGTACACCCAAATACAGACACCGAGGAGTAAGCTGGGAAGTGGTATTAATGTAGAAAAATGCTGAAGGCAACAATTCTCTAAGTTCCTTTTTCTATTTTTAATTCAATAACCAATAACACCTTTTTTCTTTTTTCTCAAGTGGAGTGGGTCCATGGTCACTCCGTTCTAGTAACTTTGGAGGATTTCATAGTAAGTAAAAAACGATAAGAGCATTTTTAGCTACTTTTGCAGAGAAGTAATTTTGAACCAAAAATATTATCTGTTGGAAAGTTATGACTCTATAATGTGCTGTAAACTGTCGCTTGGCTAGTAGTTACCCATATAATAGTAAACATGTATCTTTGTAATTGTTAGTTTTGGAAGAATTGGTTTGCAATTGCAAGTAATGACAAGTAACACTGTTAATAACAATGAAAGTGCCGCAGATAAAACATAACATTAGGTTGCAAGAAGATTTTTAAAGGAATTTAAGAGTTTGCATTAAGATAATGCTTTTTACATAAATCTTAATATTTTGCTTTTCATTCCAAAAGTGAAAATTAAAACCTGAAACTAAACATGCTAAATAATCACACCAAATCATAAATAACATAATTGGAAATCTCAAAAAAATCATAGACATAATTCCATAGCACAGATTCCACAATTTTCTTATAAATTATAAGTAGATAAAATTTATTAAAATAAGGATATACATAATTATCAAGATCAGTAATAATATTCCCTCCAAATCATCAATAATTGCAAGAATTTTATTAGTCCTTAGGACACAATCTTTTTTTTTTAAAGTTTATTTTTGAGAGAGAGAGAGAGAGAGAGAGAGAGAGATCAGGGAAAGGGCAGAGTGAGAGACAGAAAGCATCTGAAGCAGGTTCCATGCTGACAGCAGAGAGCCCAATGCGGGGCTCAACTCAGATCATGACCTGAGCCGAATCAAGAGTCTGACACTTAACTGACTGAACCACCCGGGTGTCCTCTTATGACCCAATCTTAAAGTAGTGTGACAGGTTATAAGATAAATGTTTTAAGTAGCAAAACTACTTCCTGCTACTCTTTGTGATACTGTAATTGCTAAGCTTTTTCAAAGTGTTCTGACCTTCAAATAACCATCTTAATATGAAATCCAAGTCCATTTAAAGAAATTATCTATTGTTTTAAGTAGGCTTCAGTGAATAATATTGTTAAATGAAAATGGACATTCACCACATTGATTTTTAAAATATAATTCAATATAAAATAAAGGTTTAAAAAATGCAACAAAATAGGGGCCCCTGGGTGGCTCAGTCGGTTAAGCATCTGACTTCAGCTCAGGTCACAATCTCGCGGTCCATGAGTTCGAGCCCCGCGTCGGGCTCTGGGGGCTGATGGCTCAGAGCCTGGAGCCTGCTTCTGATTCTGTGTCTCCCTCTCTCTCTGCCCTTCCCCCGTTCATGCTCTGTCTCTCTCTGTCTCAAAAATAAATAAATGTTAAAAAAATGCAACAAAATATAAACAGTAGACTTAGTGGTAAGCTTCTTTACAAATACATATATATATATATATATATGTTTGTATATACAAATATATATAACTATATATATATAGTCTGTGAATCTGATGTATATATAAAGAATATGTTCTGATCAGATTCAGAGTAAACTTAAATATATGGCCAGTAGACAATGTATCTTTCCTCTATGAGACAAATTGTATGCTTTTCACAGGTCTTTAATTCTTCACCAGTCCGTGCATTTGTGGCATTTAATCTAAAAATCCAAAACAAGTTATGCTATTAATCGGTCAGTGTTCTAAATGCCTTTAGTGGTCTAGACATATGTTACATAAATATTTAATTGCCATCAATCCATCAACACTGTGAGGATGACAATAATTAAATTTTAATATTCTTATATGATTTTTAAAGATTTTGACTTTAAAGGAGCTCAAAAAAAAAAACACTGTTCTGGGGAGAGAGGGTCGGTGGTGCAATTCTTTACCAAGCTGGGGAAGTGGGAATGAAGTGCTGTTTTTTGTGCTAACGTGACAGTCTTGTTACTGAAGCAAAGCAGCAGAGGCACTGGAGCATCCCAGTAAACAAATCTATACTCCCCAATTCCTTTTTCAGCCTGGAGGAAAAATTAACATATTTCAAAATTTATCTCATATTAGAAACTCTTCTTGGGCACAAATGTCAGATAACCAGTATAATAAAGGCTTGAGAGCTAGAGAAAAATACATTTTTAATGAGTCAGAAATCTTTAGCAATTTAGAGAAAACATTTACATACAGTAAAAAATTATGCTTCAAATACATTAATTTCTAGCGGATCTTTAAAATCTCTCTTCTATATAATGCTTTAGGGCTAAAAAAGAATAAGTAGTCTAATTTAAATATTTCTTCTTATAAATGCTCAGTAAACCTTGACAGGTTAGTGAAAACTACACTAAAGTGTTACAATAAATTAAGTCAACAGATATCTATAGACACCTGCTAGATGCAAGGCATTCGGTTAGTAGCTATATATAAACACAAACTGCGACAACAAATGGGAATAAGGTGGGTCAGTTTAGAGCTAAACCAAGAGAATTAAGCACATGAGGAAACAGAAATAAACTGTTATTTTTATTCCATTTCAAATATTAGGTAAATAAAACTGTAAAAATACTAAATTACACTACCATGGTATAATGAACAGGAAAACACTTTGAAGAGTATAAAAAACCCATTCAGTGCAATTTATTATTAGAACTGATAATTTAAAACAACATTAATGGAACAACAGTATCCTCCAGGATATATCAACAGATAGGCTTTAAATAATTTGCAACAAAATGAAGTCAAACTTCATGACCACCAGACCATAGAATTAATTAATTTAATCATTCAATTCAATATAATTAATTCAATATCATTCAATACCATTAATTAATTCAATCATTAATTCAATATAATTCAATGTT